GGCCCAGAAGTTTTTTTAATGTGTGAATAATCAGTAAGATTCTTTCCAACTCTATTATTATTATTCTAATTCCTTTTTTTTTTTTGAAACTGAGTCTCACTCTATCGCTGGGCTAGAGTGCGGTGACATCACTATTGCAACTTCAAACTCCTGGGCTCAAGTGATTCTCCTGCCTCAGCCTCCTGGGTAGCTGGGACTATAGCTGTGAGCCACCATGCCTGGCTAATTTTTCTATTTTTTGTAGAGATGGGGTCTCACCATTATTCAGGTTTGGCTTGAATTCCAGACCTCAAGCAATCCTCCCACCTCTGCCTTCCAGAGTACTAGGATTATAGGCATGAGCCACTGCACCCAGCCCCTAATTTCTATTTTAGAATAAATTGAGGCTATTAGCAAAAGGACTAATTTTGTGATTTTATCAAGCTAGGTGGAAGAGTTTGACAGTTTATAGCTATTAAGATGTTTTTCTTTCTAAAATCTATACGTAATACATGATATAGCCAAAGTCAAATCAACTCTCTAAGAACATAAAGGCCCTTTGCAACATTAATTGATCTGCTGTTATGTGTTTTTGAAGTATAAAGGCTTTAAGAATTTAAGATGAACACAGTCATATTTCCTGACACTTGAAGAGCTTGTAGTAACGTAGTAAAGGCTAATAATAAACAAACATCCACACTCACCTAAGAGATATACTATATTCCATCAGTTGTGAGATATACATTTATTCACATTAACATCTCTGAATTTGAGACTTAATATCTCTGAACTCAATGGTGCCTCACAATGGCTTGTTAGAGCTCTTTCAATATATATAAAATAAAAAGTTAAGTCATAAGAAAGGATTATGTCATCATTTAATCCTTTTTCTTAGTAATTTTCTTCTTTCTTAATAATATATAAAATAATGACAAAAATTTCAATCTAGAGTTCTTAGAACTGGTAGACCATACCATGGGACCCTAGAAGAGAAAAGTGTTACCTCTACCAGGGTAGTCTAGGAAGGCTTCCCAGAGGAAACTGTTATAACAAGTGTTACCCGGGTGGTCCCCAGGACAAAACAAGTGACACACGGAGAGTCAGAGAATAAAAGTTTATTTTGCCAGTGGGCTCAGACAGGCATTGCCACCAAATTCTGAGCCCCGTCTACCCGATTTTTCCCACTTTTATTAAGTTGGGGTGGTCTGAGGGGTGGGCTACCAAGTGTAGGTGAGTTGATGTGTCATGCAATAGGTTAATATTATGTTGATGCACCAGGCAATGGATTTAGTGTTATGCTGATGCAAGACAATAGACTAGTTGATGGGCCAGGAAACAGGTTAGTGTTATGCTGACGTGGGTCTTCCATGAGAAGTAGAGTGTCTCTGTGCCTGATGTGCCAAGTAATAGATGGGGGTTTCCCTTATCAGAGTGACATCTGAATAGAAATTGTGAGTACTCATAAAGAGGATCCTGTGTACAGTGTAGTGTTCATTCTACATCCACAACACTATGCCTGTCATAAACATAAGAATGAGATTGATACCACTACTTCTGCTACTACTTCCACTCCTCAGTGAGAAAAAGGGCACCACACTGCAAAGAAGGCATCCTACAGGGGCCTGCCTTTACATTCTAGTGTTTAACTTTCAAAACAACATTAATAGGTAAATATTATAATTTTCCTGTACAGATAAGGGCTGAAGTATAGACAAAGAAAGCAGCCTTGCTCAGTCAATGGACTAGCAAATGGCAGTCTAATTCCCATTAGACTCCAATCTTTTGGGGGAAAAAGCCTATGTTTTTAACATAACATTTCAGAAGCAAGCCTCCTATAAAAAGTGACTCCCACCTAAAAGAGAACCACAGGGAAAGAGTCCTCCAAGGATGGACAATTAAGCAAATAAAAGCCCCAAACTTGACAGGAAGATAAAAGATTATACATTCAACAGCCATTTATCTATCAGCACTTCATAAAGTCAGCTTCCTTGGATCCCCTGGAGCTGGTAGAAACATCACAATAGGTGATAGCCCATAAATGTAATAGTCTTTAGATTAACAAATTAACAGGAAAACAGACAATATACACAAGAGAACCCTCAGCAAGGAGCAGCTCTGGCACCTTTAGAGGAACAAATAAACTAAATCTAACTTTGTAATTATATTACTTAAATCCATGGTTGGCAGTCATGGTATGCTACAACATCCAAATTTGCTTAAACATTTATTAAGATACAATGAAATGAGATTGCTGAAAGACTATCTAAAAAGGAGAAATGGAATATGGTAAAATGCTAACTTAAGTCATGTAAAAGAAAGTATAAATTTATATTTATACTTATGTTTTCATTAATGAATTAAGAAAATACATTTTATAAAAAATCTTAACACATTCACAAAAGAAATAGTTTAACTGATATCTGGATTGTAAGCCTGAATGAAATTATAAAAAGGAAGTAAAACGGATTTAATTCAGTTAGAAACATAGGCAACAATAATAAAAAAAAATCAAATAAGTTTTAATGTGGATAAATATTATATAATGCATTTATATAGGAACAAGGGTATATTAATATGCATTGACCCAGACTTAAAAAAAATGAAATCGTAAAACTTCTATGGCAGGCACTGTGGCTCTCGCCTATAACCTTCACACCTAAGAGGCCAAGGCAGGGGGACTGCTTGAGGCCAAGAGTTCAAGACCAGCCTGAACAATAGTAAGACCCCCATCTCTACAAAAAATAGAAAAAAAAATTAGCCAAGCATGGTGCCATGCACCTGTAGTCCCAGCTACTCAGGAGGTAAGGCAAGAAGATCACCTGAGCCCAAGAGTTTGAGGTTGCAGTGAGCTACGATGATGCCATTGCAGTCTAGCTGGGATGACAGAGTGAAACCCTGTCTCCAAAACAAACAAACAAAAACAACAACAACAAAAACTTCTAAAAAGACCAAACTACAGGAATGCTATGCAGGTTATGGGGGCTTTGCTTATAGAAGCACCTGGACCAGAGAGTTTTCTCTGTTACATTTAAGAATTACAAAACAAAAACAACTGACACGACAGATCAGACCTATACCTATATGACACAGACTGCACAGCTATGCAACAAAAGCAGAAACTTAGAAAGCTGCAGGAGGCTAAAATAAACAGTGGGTAAAAAAATATTGGCAGCAAATAATGACAGATTTTGTGAATTACAACCATATGACAAAAACAGAGGTCATTAAGACATGGGTTGATGCACAGAACAACACTGTGCAAAGCAACAGTCTCTATAATATGTTGATCAGAGAAGCCCGCCTGGAATAGATACAGTGGTAAAGGTGATGCTAAAAATGAAAGAGATCAACTAAATTGCCTTAAAGAACGAGAAGAAGATATTGCAGCACTCCAGGTACCTATAAGCAGCAGCTTTCTCCAGGGTCAGCCTTAGGTCATTCACCTAAGATGGGAAAGAACCTGGTACAGAAAACCCTAAGGGTGATAGCAACTCTGAGCTATTTCTAGCACTGCAGTGAAGATTTCCTTACATTTATCTAAACAGATTGCTTCAAAGGCAAAATAGTTAAGCATGATTCTGCTGATCTCAACACATTCACTCCAATACTCTGGTAGCAGCGGAAGTACCTCAGAATAAAGAGGCAATACCTTCATGAACAAAATAAAAAATGTTCCATGTAAATACCTGTGGAGGGGTGTAGGGAAAGAAAAAAACTGGAGAAATGGAAAGGAGAGATAGATTATTTTTTGTTGTTTTCTATCCCGCTACCTCCACGCCCCCCAAGCCCTGAAGCTCCAAAGCGCATCTGCTCTAAGTCAGAGTTTATTAACAGCGGGTCCCCCGTGGGTTCCAGCCATTAGGTTCCTGCGGCAAAGACTCAGCTTTGTATGGTTGATAAAATTACATGAAGAGAGGTTTTCTTACTACTTTTTTCTAAAATATGAGATCCCTAACTTTCAGGAAAGTAGTTTTTATAGCTATTCATTGCCCACAGACTGCAGAGTACCCTTTCGTTCATCAAACTTTTATTTAGCATATATTTCGAGTCAGTATATTACAGCCATCTAATGCTGCAAACATTTTCAAAACTAGATAAAATGTTGAATGATGCTGTCATCAGAAATTTGAGGTTCATTCTCCCATATGAAAAATTCAGAAATGTACCATTTCAGAGAGAAAAAACAGAGTTCTGTTTGACATAACCTAATTAATATGAAACATTATTGCCATGGATCTGCCTTACTGTATCCATCACTCCCTGAAGATGACAATTAGTATACACTTTTAGCCATATCTTTCCAAGAGCTCATTCCTCAAAAATCAATGTTCCTCAAAATGAAGGGGACCTCAGAACTCCTCTAACCTCCACAGTACTATTTTTCAATCCATTCTCTCATTTTTCCAGAATACCAATCGGTATAAAGTAGAAGTCATAACAGGGAAAAAATATGTAAACTAGTGCCTGTTTTCTTTCTCTATCTCTCACCTTTTAATTCAACATAATCTTTTAATGCTCCTCTGAAAAATGTGAGACAGCCTACAGTTTAGATACATATTTCCTCTTATGAAATATAAGAATGTCATATGTCTTTTCTTATTTGATTATTTCTAAAAGACATTATTAGTCCATCTGAGCAAATCAATTTACTACTAGAGGTGCTGTGGTTTAGAATTACAAAATCTTAGAACTACAGAAAATAATAATAATAAGGATTATTTAAATAGCTCTAAAATCCAGAGATGTCAATTCATTTATCGACAGTCATATAGTTAGTTAATGAAAAATTTAAGAATATAATCTAGGACCACAAACTTCCAGGTCAGTGGCCTTTCCACCATACTATTGTACCTTATTAACATCAGTTATTAACAGTGATTCTTCATCTTCCTTTATCTAAAATATCTGATCTTAGCAAATTTGTAACCTATCAGTTCTTTGTGCCTGATTCTAAAGTCTTAGATGGCTAGAAATGTTCTACTTTGAATTAATGTTAGACCAAGAACTTTTATCTTATTTACCTCTCATGGGCGATTTCATGGCAGCTTCCACCATCCCCACGAGAAGCTGAAGACTCTTGGGGTCTTGAGCCAGTCCAGATGCAAAGGCTGCCAGGGCATCGGCATGACGTCCAAGGTACTGGAGGGCAACACCCTGTCGGAAGTATGCCTGAAAATAAAGGAAATATGTTTTACTTATTACATTGTGCTGTAATAAGCTGATCGTGATTCTTTACTACAACAACAGGTCACCAGAACTAAGATTGAGATGTCCCTGGTTCAAAATCCTAGTAAACAGTTTGTAATCAAACCAACTGATTTCTTCTAACATCATAAAATGTGAGCATACTTCTTTCAGGTGATTTAAATTTAAAACTTTCACTCTTTTCTATGATACCAATTTTATCACATTCTTTGGCATTTATTCACATATTGTTTGTATTGTTTTTTGATTATTTAAAAATATTTCTTATTCCATTTTTAATACCATAATCACCTCAAGGACAGGGACTTAGAGATTTACTTATATCTCACCTAAGTATCTGGTACATTTCAAGATGAATGAGAGATAAAATCAATTTATTTTATTTTATATTTGTATTTATATTTCCCCCTTATATAATTAAAAGAAAAAATTAATGTGATTACTATTAAGATGATTTTAATAATGAGTAATATAACATGGCTACATACTTTTAATGTGGTGTTTCAGACATAATATTTAAACGCAGTTACCTAAAATATGTGTGCTTTGCTTAGAAACAAACAACAAAAAAAGATTGTTGTCTTTTGTTTAATTGGGTTAGTTTAAAAACTAGTATTACCATCTGTGATTATAGGAAAACATTTTTCCTCCCCTAACTGCAGAAATGGCCGGAGAATTAATAAGATATTTAAATTTAGAGCTTAAATATTTAAATTTTAGAATAGCTTCAAGAAACTGCAGTTTATTTTCAAGTACACAGGAGTAAACTAATTAAATGGACAAAGTATTACTCATAAGCAACCAGCAAAGGACCTTGTACCTAATTAAATAATACATAAAAATAACATTATTAATGCATGCATTACTTATGTGACAACATCTGCTTCTAAAATACTTGGCTTCCTATTCAACTGAAATACTCTTACAATACTATTTTATAACACAAACTTAACTTTTTTCAGTCCAACATACTTAGAAATTGTCACAAATTTTATTCACGGGATCTAAATCATATTTCAGACTCTTAAAACTACCAAAAAATACATACTTTTGTATTTTTATATTACACGTGGAACACACAGAGAGTAAGAGACAGCACCTTTCATGATTATAGAATATATTTATTTACCTTATCTTATTTCATTTTTACAATGACTCTTTGAGGTAATTTAAAATAGACAATGCTATTCAGTGTTTGTATTAAGAAACAATCCATAAACAGAATGAATACTTAAATTATTATGGGCTATCCGAGCTTCTATTAGTTTTAAACTGTCAGCAGCTGTTAAAACTCAGAACCCAGCAAGACAATAACTTATGAATTAGTAATGAAAGTGCATTTCTAAGATCACTTCCTTTCACTGGACTCAGCCACTGTTTTAATCTTTAATGTGTTTACAAACATTTTTCATTACCTTTTTCAGGTCACATTTTAGGTGGTTTCTAAAATCTAAGAGGAAATAGTATTTCCAACTAAAAATAACTATAGTTTATGTAAGACTGGAAATGCTATGTTAAATCTAAACTAAAAATATACATACCTATATGTATTTTTATATATAAATATGCCAAATATCTATATACTGTAAATATTATTTTCTGAAAGACAAAAAGGTCTGTTACTATTGATTTCAGGCATATCTCATAAGAAACAAAAAAATCTTAAATTAGCCTCAGTGAGTTTTGATAACTTCTTACATATTTAAAGCAAAACTTTCTCATTCATTACTTTACAGAGAGATAGCAAAGGCTTTCTCTGTCTGCCAAATAAAATCACTGAAAAGTATGATTCACCTACCTCTTAGGAGATAGGCAAAGTTCAGTGTTAAATGCAAGCTATGGTCTCACGTTCACACAGTAGCTCAAAAAGAGTGTGCATACTCTGTTTTTTTAGGACACTTAGAATTAGATGAAGAAAGGGTAACACTGGATCATTGCTTCCCACAATCTTTGCTTCCTTTCTTCAGGAGAAAATTTTTAAAAGCAGTATAGGAGAAAAGGCTCAAACGTCTTCCTTGGTCCTCCTTATCCCCTTCCAGAGCCCCTAATCCAACTTTATGAGATTTTATCAGTCAAAAAGCTTAGAGTTGTATCCTGTCAAGAAAGCATAATGAGTCAAGCTCTGACAAACCCCTGTTCCAAACTCATACAATGGGGCTTTCCCAACTTTTTCCATGCAATAAGCTGTTGAATAAAAATAAGTTGTTTATACTTTTGTGAGAGATATGCTACTATGAAGTTCAAGCTGATGAAGATAAAATCTAGATTGTAGGTTATTGTGATAGAATAAAGAGAATTCACTACAGTACTTGACAGAGAGTAACTACTCAATAAAATTAGCTATTTTCATTAGTAGTTAATGAAAAAAGAAACTTACTAATAACACATAATTATAGACTAACAGAATATAAGGCAGTCCAATAAATATTTTTAAATACTTTACTGTGCAATATAATATTACTCAATTCCTATCATTGTTTCATTCACTCCTTCCCTGTTCCATAAAAGACTGTTAGCAGCCAAGAAATTATGTAATTGAGACCTCTCATTGCTGTAAGGCTTCCAGACAAAATCTAAGCCACCTGACTAAAAGAAATTGGTATATTATCAAGTCTTAAGAGATATAGCAGTCACCCATAGGAGCCTCTGCCAGCCTCCTCCCTCTAAAGCAAAGGTCAAGATGTGCTAAGATTCATAGCTATTTACCAAAGCTTCAAGAAAACTGAGGTGACCTGCTGCAGCCTATCTGCTTCTCCCCTGCTGGTTCCTGCTACTAATTTTTCTCTTGCCATCACAGGTTTCACAAGAAGCCACTTCATCTGGGAGGGGGACAAATTCTGCTCACTTAAGATTGAGCACAGGCAGTATATGCACAGCGTACCGAGGTAAGCTGGGGGTCTATAAGGCAATGTTGAATACTTGGTGCCCATTCAACATCATATAATATATACTCTTGCCTCATGAACTTACCACATTGTAATCACTGGTTATGCAGTAGATGGAAAAGGAAAGAAAACATGGATTAACTGGAACATGGATTAACTGTTGAGAACCACCTCAGAACACTCTGAGTACAATGGTTTTAGCTGAAGCTTTAGCTATGTAGACTAATGGTAGGATGCCTAGATTTTCAAGTGTTTCATTCATATTTTTTTTCTTGTTCACCACAAAGATCCCACAGTGATTATTCTATGCATGCTACTAAATGACAACACAAATAATATAAAGATAACCGAATTACAAGAATAAGTTTCCATTCCTTCTTTCCTTTAATTATCATTCTTTAAAAATCTACAGTGCCAGGCACTCTGACAAACAACACAAAGAAACAAAAATAGGACTCACACCCTCCTCAAAATGCTCACAGTCTAAAGGGGAAAAATATAAAAAGCTACAAATGTCTTGACTGCTAACTGCAGAAATGGTGACAGTAACTAATGATGTAATATTTCAGAGGTAACAAAAATGTAACTAATGACCAAAGTATTTATGTCCTGTTGTTAAAATTGTTAGTATTATATTAACATTTACTTATTATTAAGTAGCTGTTCCTCTTACCCCAAGAGGATTAAAGTAAAAACACTCAAAGGCTAAACATGTGAAACAATAAACTATTCATCCTGTAAGTATCCCTGGAATAAATTGAAGGACCTTTAAGTTTTTACTTTCAACATACCATTTTTGGTTCACATTTCTAAAACATCAATAACACCCTACTCTATCCACCTTGTTTCATTTAGGACAAGGGAGAAATTATCCAGGGCAGAACTATCCAATACAACTTTCTGCAATTTTGGAAATGCTCTCTGTACTGTTTAAAATCGGTAGCCTCTGACCAGCCACATGTGGCCACTGAGCATTTGAAATGCGGCTAATATAAGTAAGAAACTACATTTTAAGAATCCTGTCCTGATTACTTTTTAGTTGTGTGCCTTTGGCCAAGTCACTTAACTTCACCAAACTTCATGTTCCATTTCCACTTATAGGGGGTATGATAATGATGACCTCAAAGGATTGTAATAATGGTTGCTAACTCATGTGAAATAAAAAACACAGAGTAGGCACTTTTTAAAATATTAAACAAGTGAATCTCTCACGGACTGTGTTACTCTAGATTTGGCATTTGCTATCTAATCAAGTGGTTTGTATGCTTCACCAGCTCACAGATTACAAATCACCTTTTATAAAGTGGATGAGGGGCTGAGAAAAATTAGGCACACAAAAAAATTAATGATCATCATGACCACTTTGAGTCATTGATGAAGTAGTTAATTTATGTTTGTCACCTTCTGTTTCCAAAGTCTACAGTAGGTAACAGATTTGAGAAAAAATTTTCAATCAAAATTATTTTTTAAAATGTTTATACTTTGGCAGTTCACTAGGTCAGCTTCAATTATCTAGTAAGTTCATTATTTAGAACAAACAAATGATGCAGGTTAAATAAGGTCCTTTTGCCTGAGTGGAAAATTTAGAAAGAGGTGGCAGAAAATGGAAGGCTAAAGATCTGTCTATAGGAACATGAAACACAACTTCCATCCAAGGACTTTATCCTGACGCACTGATTATTAGAATTATTACAGGGTTTTCTGAGGCCCAAGCCTGACACTTACCATAGAATTAAAAAGAGCCCAGTATTGTCATATCAGTCCTGCCACAATAAATTATCCTTAATTTTACTGTATATATGTAGGTATTTTATTTTCCAAAACTTTTTCTAAGTTATCATTTGTTCAACAGCTACTCTGTACCAGAGACTGCTGGGTGCTCTGCTTAGTTTATCACTAATCCTCACAATGCCATGCTTCTAAGAAGTTCTTACGATGACCACCACACAAAAGAGGTAGTTACAAAACTTGACCCAAATCATCCAGCTACAAATTGAGACAAACCTGCTGCCATACTCTCTCTTTCTACTTTCCACACTGCCTCTTTGATAAAAGAATTAATGGTGTGTGATTAACCTC